TAGGGAGTTTAAAAAAGGATGGGTAGAGAGAGGAAGAGAGAGAAAGAGAGAGAGAGAGAGAGAGAGAGAGAGAGATAGAGAGAGAGAGATAGAGAGAGATAGAGAGGGAGAGAGATAGAAAGGGGAATGGTGAGAGAGAGTGAGAGAGAGGGAGAATATCAAGACGAGAACGAGTTTATTGAGCTGCGAGAAAAAAACCGTCGATGCGATCATCATGATTGCTCGCCACTCGTTCCTACACAAACGACGTTGCCGCCGACGTCAACGCCGACGTCTCAAGTGTCCGCCCTTACTTCCCGCCCTGTGCTGGCGTGACGAGTCCACAATGGATGCTCACTTGTCTTCAATATGTCAGCGCCGCGTGATCGCGACGAAATGCCTCGCGTGAAGCACACGTACGTCATTACCATAACAATGGCTGCCAGCTCTTTGTTTGTCTTACGCACTGAATCAAACTGTCAAATATTTAGTTTTCGCGAGAGCTTTCGAATTTGAATACGCAAGCACTGGAGAGAAACGTGTGTAGATTGAAAGAGGCAATTCACGCGGTCCGGCGAGCGAACATATTTTAGAAAATACACACGATGTTCGGAGTCATTAAGCGTTATTTGCTCTCGTTTTTTTACGCGGCCACTGCAAAAAAACGTTTTACGGTGCGAACGAGAAATAAATCAGCGTTTCTTGTTGTTGTCATGACGACATCCAGCCTGCACTACGTCACTCGTGTCAGTATGACAGCACCATACACGAGGGGGCACCTCTTCATTGCACTCGTGCGCATGCGCAGGTGCGATCTCGCTATTGCATTTCTCAAATTGAAAAGAATTCAACAAATGACAAAAATTCGGAAAAATTATCCGCTTCGCGTGGAGTTAATTCACGTCGTGGAATCTACGTAGCTTTACGCTGACACGAGGCAAGCAGTAACGAAATCCTGCTCAGTGAATGAAAGTATTGCCTCGGATAAAGCATGAAGGAAGCGACGGATCAACCCGACGTTATCTCGACTTCATTTTGATCGCGTGAAAAAAAAATCGGTGTTGATGGACGACGCTGTCCACGTGACGCCCGCACTCGACTCTGATTGGCGGAGAGCAACGGCCCCATGCATCGCGAGCGCTAGCGCTACGAATCCGTGTGTAAATTTGTTCAATTTGTTATTTTTTCATTTGACGAGGAGAGACTCAAATGTTCGTTAATTCTGCTTCTTCGTGCTGCGACGTGCTTGTCGTTTATTTGATTACATACACGTAGGCTCGAACGTGAACTAGCTTCACTCTCTCTCTCTCTCTCTTTATCAACACTCGTGCTTATTAGTTAGAATATTACGTTCCAGAACCGTCCGTCTTTCCATTCATCCATCCATCCGTCCGTCCGTCCGTCTTTCCATTCATCCATCCATGCGTCCGTCCGTCCGTCTTTCCATTCATCCATCCATCCATCAATCCATCTATCCATCCATCCATCCATCCGTCCGTCCGTCCGTCCGTCCGTCCGTCCGTCCGTCCCGTCCGTCCGTCCGTCCGTCCGTCCGTCCGTCCGTCCGTCCTCCGTCCGTTCCGTCGTCCGTCCGCCGTCCCGTCCGTTCGTCCGTCCGTCGTCGTGCCGTCCGTCCCGTCCGTCGTTCCGTCCGTCCGTCGCGTCCCGACCGTCCGTCCGTCCGCCGTCCGTCCGTCGCGTCCATCCATCCATCATCCATAACCATCCATCCAATCCATCCATCCATCACCATCCATCCATCCATCCATCGATCGCTCATTCCATCCCATTCCATCCACCACCATACCACTCCATCCATTCCATGCCATCCATTCCACCATCCATTTTCCATCCATCCATCCATTCCATCCATCCATCCATCCATGCCATTGCATGCATGCATGGCATGCATCCATCCATCCATCATCCTCCCATTCCATCCATGCATCATCCATCCATCCATCCACCACCATCATCCATCCATCCATCCATACCATCCATCTAATCATCCATCCATCGCATCCATCCATATCCATCCATCCATCAATTCCATCCATCCATCCATCATCCATCCATCCATCTATCCATCCATCCATCCATGCATCCATCCATCGCATCCAACCCATCCGAATCCATCCATGCCAATCCATCCTGGCCATCCATGCCATCCATTCCAATACATCCATCGATCCATCCGGATCCATCCCATCCATCCATCCATCCATCGCATCCATCCATCCATTCCATCCATACCATCCCATCCATCCATCATCCATGCATGCATGCATGCATGCATCCATGCCATCCATCATCCATCCATCCATCCATCCATCCACCATCCCCTCCATTCCATCCATCCATTCATCCATCCATCCATCCAATGCCATCCCATGACATCCATCATCTCATCCATCCGATCCATCATCCAGTCCATCCATCCATCCATCTATCCATTCCATCCATCGCATTACCATCCATCCATCCATCCATACCCATCCATGCGCATCCATCCATCCAATGCATCCTCCATCCATCCATCCATCCATCCATCCATGCATCCATTCCATGCATACCATCCATCCATCCATCCATCCGTAGGGGGAGCGCATGGTAAGTGTTGGCATGCGTTTCTACATTGCACAGCGGAGACCGGTCGGCGCGCGGCCGCATTAAATATAGAGAGAGCAATAAATTACATCAACATTTTATACTATCTACTTGACGTGCGCATCGTTTATCTCACGCGCAGCTGCATCCGTGCAGATAAATAAACGACTAATGCCTCTCTCGCTGCTTGCCCGTAGAGATGCTAATAGCGATGGTTACGCTGGCCGTTAGCGTATGTCTGCGCTATGTCACATTGTAACTATAATCCTCTTCGAGTTCTCTCCATCCCTTGTTTATCTTCATCGCATTATCGCGTAATTCAGACAAGTTTTCATTTTCTGAATCGAAGAGGACGCGACGATAGGTTAGAATAAACTTAGAATCAGCGGTCAATGTCTGTCCCGCTCGCTTTTTAATCTCAGCCGTTGAGTTTAATGATCGCCCGTTTCGAATTGAATTTTTATTTTTATTTTCTCCTCGTCGTTTTAATCGTGCGCATCTGATCGGAGCTCGGGAGTGGAGAGCATTAGCTATTAACTATTTGCTGAAGTCTTCCTTGCGTCTGTTACAGAGGTTACCTTGCAAGACAGTGACGTCATCAGAGGACCCGTGTTCGAGACGCAGCCGCCCTCTACCGTCATCTTCACGAACGACACGGGTGTGCTGCTGCGCTGCTCGGCCGCCGGAACATCCGGTGCCGGAACATCGAGTGGTCGAAATAACGCGCTGACGAGTGGCCGCCGTTTCGGATGATGTTCCGAACCTTCGCTATACGTTCCGGAAACGGTGCAAGCACTGCAGCTGCGGGCCGTTCGATCCGGGTTCTATCGCGCCGAGGTTCATTCTACAACGTACGTCTGCTTCGCGCGCAACTACGCCGGTGTTATACGCGGCAGGAACGTCACTGTGACGGCAAGGTAAGCCCCGTGTGTGGCGTGTGTGTGTGGTGTGTGTGTGTGTGCGTGTGTGGTGCTGTGTGTGTGTGTGTGTGCTGTGGTGTGTGTTACTGTGTGTGTGGTTGTGTGTGTTGCGTGGGTGTGTGTGTGTGTGCGCGCGCCGCCTACGCGAGTGTGTGCATGTTTTGTAAATGTCTGTGGTGTGTGTGTGTTGTTGTGTGTGTGTGTTGTGTGTGTGTTGTGTGTGTGTTTGGTGTGAGCGTGCGCGCGCGAGTGTGTTCAGTGTCTGTAATGCGGGTGTGTAGCGCGCGCGTGCCTGTGTGGCACATAGAACATATCCTAATAGAACATTAAAACTAGTAGTGTGGAGGATTCTTTCCACAGTGGTTGGTTTTTGTTCCCAAGTGGGAGATGTCAGCGAGAGGATGGAGACAGCTTGAGAGAGAGAGAGAGAGAAAAAGAGAGAAAGAGAGAAAGAGAGAAAGAGAAAGAGAGAAAGAGAGAAGGTGAGACTGGTGAAGAGAGAGTGAGAGAGAGAGAGAGGCGAGAGAGAGACGAGAGAGGAGAGAGAGAGAGAGAGAAAGGAGAGAGAGAGCAGAGAAGAGAAAGAGAGAGACGAGAGAGAGATGAGAGAGAGAGATGATAGAGAAGAGACGAAAAAGGGAAGAGGAGAGAGAGAAGAGAGAGAGAGAGAGAGAGAGAGAGAGAGAGAGAGAGAGAGGCTGAGCAAACGAGCGAGGGAACAACAGGGTAGGATAGTGTGATTAGGATATGATGAGAGAACAGGAGAACAATAGAAAGAGAACGATAGACAGAGAACAATAGACAGAGACCGATGAGAAATCCACGAGCGCGCGCGAACACACTGAAGAACAAAAACACAATTAATAAACCCGACCGCGCGTAGACTGCCCCTACCCGTCCTCCCTTCAATCTACACAACCCTATGCTTGCCGAGCGCGGCGCCGGCCGTCTAGATACGGAAGGCCATGGTCGTCGCTGCATCTGTAGGCACGGCGTGTCGGCACGCGCGCACGCGCGGGAAACACTTACGGGGGAGACAACGACCGACGACTTACGACCGCCGCACTTTCTAACTCAAGAGTTTGCGCCGTCGTTTGCCGGGAAACACGCAGACGACATCGCATGCAAGAAAACCGCGGGAAATGTCGGCTGCGGCATGTACGCGGATAAATAGCGGGAATGTCGCCCACTATGCAACATGAATATCACCGCGCGTGAATACAAATAAGAAAATGATAAAAATACAAAATGTAGCGCAGAGACGCACCCGCTGTGTCCATTTCCACACGTGCAAAGCGGCGCAGCAAGTTCCACGGCGTGTGCGTGAAAGTGTGCGGGAGAAATCCCATGCATTGATCATACACAATGATCACACACAATGATCACACACATTGATCACACACAATGATCACACACATTGATCACACACATTGATCACACACAATGATCACACACAATGATCACCGCTATCAATCAACACGATTTTGATCTACATGCGACGTCACATTGATTCACAACAATGAACACACAATGATCACACAGCATGATCACACACAATGACACACTCACAATGATCCACACACAATGATCAACACACAATAATACACAGCACATTGATCACTACACCATTGATCACACATTGATCACCCACATTGAATCACACAACATTTGATTCACACACATGATCACACACATTGATAACACATGATGCACACACATGATCACAACATTGATCATCACACAGTTGATCACTACCACAATGATCACACACATTGATCACACACAATGATCACACACAATGATCACACACAATGATCACACACATTGATCACACACAATGATCACACACATTGATCACACACATTTGATCACATCTCAATTCACATGATTTCATAATATGGTTCCATTCGATGTAAACAAACGCTAGTACTAACTTTTGATGTAATAAATTACCTCCCGTTCTGTTCCAACTTCTTCCGGTGGCAATTTCTTCGAGTGCCACTTGTCGCTTGTCCCTATATCCTTGATGTTAAATGATTAACGCATCGTATAAACATTGATATTCTGGCCATAATTCATGTGAATTTCTCCTCCAGCTGCACACTCTCACCCAACACTTCCGCAGGCGCTGCATGTTGATAATATGTGACTCGCTTAATCGCCTGCTATGGTGCCCATATTCCACGTGCGGAGTTATGCGCAGCAAGTTGCACAGCGTTGTGCGGGCGGGCTGACATCAGCGGAATGTTTGTGTTTTTAACGCAGTGTTCTGATTTTATTTGTTATGGCGCGACGGTTTGTTGTTAAGCGAGTTACGCACCTACATTGTTCGCGGGACAGATTTTGATTTATTGTTTTTACCAAGGGTTTCTGTCTTGTTTGTTTATGCGAATTTCGCAGCGGAGAAGTTGGTGCAGATTATCTTCCCGGCTAAGTCGCGGATCTATATATTCTATTGTCCTAATATCGTCTATATAGTCCTATATAGTCTAAAGACTATATAGTCCTAAAGACTATATGTCTATATCGGGAAAATGTTGCGAAAGGTTGAAATAGGATTGCTGCTCGTAGTTGCTGTGTGCGTGTCATCCACGTTGTCGACACACACGGTATACGGGTTTAAATGTTTCACCTGTGACAACAAATAGTTCTGATTGATCGACGTACGTGAGCGTGTTTAAGCCTCGTTTACTACCCCGTGGATGGTGATGGGATGATGATCCTGCATGCTAGCTCGCCATCCACCGATACACCACCCGCGCGTGTCTCTGACATCCGGCTGACTTCGTCGATAATATTTAACGAGAATTTATGGAAATGGCGAAATCGATGAGGAGAAAGGGTTACGTTTGCAACGGGGTTGGTGAGGGAGAGACAAGGACAAATTGTTTTGGTGTTATAGTGCGGGTTTTCTGCTATCCTCCTCAGTTTCTCCGTGGGTGTGAATGATGGGTAGAATATGTTGACTGTCTCTGACTCGCATCGCAACACACGCTGTCAGGAAAGCAGAATTTCCTACGGTCCGAAACACACATCACGCGCGCGCGCACGCGCGACACACACACATCGCGCACACACTGACACACACACACACAGCACACACGAACCCACAACGCGCGTGGCCGGCACTAGCAGCGCGACACACACACACCGGACGCACACGCACGCACACGCACACACACCGCGCGCGCCAGCACAACCACGCACACGCACACACACAACCAACCCACAACACGCACGCACGGCACGCACACAGACGGCAGCGCACCACAAGACACACACGCACCAACACACACGACCACGCACACACACATTACACACACAACACATCACACACACCACACACACACACACCATACAGCACCACACACACCGCACGCCCGTCGGCCATTTCAGATGTTTAATCGAATTTATACCAACGAGATTTCGAAGATCGTCCGTCTGTGAGAAATCTGAAAAATTTTTGGTGCGTTTGTGATAAAAACGACGAGATCTTAGACTAGCTAGCTAGATAGGCCGAAAACGAAAACAAAAACACGATTAGCATACCGAACGACATTTTCGGAATAATACCGTCACAGTCGAACCAGTTCAATCATTCGGACACAACCACAATTGTGTTGCGCGCGCCGCGCGCCGTGTGTGTGTGTGTGTGCGTGCTGTGTGTGGCGTGTGTGTTGTGTGTGTATGTGTCGGTGTCGTGCGTAGCGTGCATTCGTCCGTGCGTGCGTGTGTTGTGGTGGTAGTGTGTGTGTGTGTGTGTGGTGCGGTAGCGGCCGTGCGTTCCGGCGTCGTGCGTGCGTTTCGCTGCCGTGGGGGGGGGAGTGCGCGCATGTGTGTTGTGACTTTTAACATTCATCCTTCCACGCATAGTTAATGTTAAAATGTTTATTCTAACGTCGCCAGCGGGACGCGAATTCTATAGGCTACACGTCTATATATGTGTTCATAATCACAATATTTGATTACACGTTGGCACATTCTAACACAAAATGGTCGTCCGTACAGTGGATTATGACATATTTAGTGTAGTTCAGAGTCGATTCCCTTTGCTCCTAATTCCCCTCCCTAATCCTTCCCCTAACCCTTCCCTACAATACTCACAATTTCTCGATGTCTTCTTTTGTATCTACTCTCTCAACCCTTCGCTTGTCTCCTTCTGTATTCCCTCTCTGAATCAATCCCATTTCTCCTTTCGTACCGCCTTCCACAACACGCCCCTTATCGCATTTCGTACTCCCCAAATCATCCTCTTATTTTCTTTCGAATCCCTTCTATCTCTCAATCCTTCCATTGCTTCATCTTTCGTATTTCCACTCCTCAGTTTTTCCCTCATCTATATTTCGACCGCACCCAGGTAATAACAAATTCACATCTCACATTCAGGCACGCGCAACATACGCATAAACTACACATCCGTGTGTGTATAATATGCGGTTTTATGCTATAATCGCATTACAGTACATGAATATTTTTCACACGTGCACGCTCACGTTGCTTTATACGTATAACCCTCGATACTTCACAGTATAGCTGTGTAGAAAGCGCCACCTACATCGCTGTTCGCACCTACAGTGCCCCCTGGCGTCTCTCGCTGTTCGCGAATCCGCCCGGGGTGCGAGGTTGGGGGGGGGCAAACAAACAACATTTTAATCGAATAATAAAATGCGCTAATATATCAAGGAAGCTACGACGCATGCGCAACTACGCCCCCGCTTCATAATGTGTAATCGATTTATCGATATCGTTGTTAGATCATCGATAATTGCGCGAT